TTTCTGAGAATCATATTCTATAGCAGTGATAGAACCCGGATTTGTTGCCTTGATTTGCTCCAAATATGAAGGAAGTCGCTCATACCCATCTTCCGCGGATCCTCTCACCAATTCTTGCGCATATAACAATGCTCTGTATGAAGTGGTGTAATCAAGTGTCATGCCAAACATGTTCTTCATTGCATCTTTGATATGCTGCAGATTCAACCCATCAATGATTCCAACACGATCTATGAAGAGTCGACCAATGTACTTCGGACTAGAGTGTTTCCGCCCAGCGATTCTGTCTCCGGTGGAACATGTATGAGTTTTCAAATACTTGGTTACCCAAAACGTCTTAGTCCCATGTTTCACACTTGCTCTGATCTTCCATTGACAACCACTAACCCGACATGTTGCCACAAAGAGAGTTTTTGTTGACTTGTAAACTCTGAAGGAGAACCTGCGCCTCACCGCGCTCAACCGAACTCGGAAAGCAGTGCATCCTTGCTAGTAAAACTCTGGTTTACATAGATTCTTTCTGCAGATGATCCTTTTCCCTCACAGCCATATGCCTCTCCGTAATCTTCAAAACAAATTTCATCATCTTCTTCCTCATCCTCGTCTTAAACCTTTCCAAATTGACTCTAATCCTCAGGATCATAAAAATCTTCAGCTACAACAGGGATGTCAGCATCCTCCTCCCTATCATGATCCTCAGCTACATCCCCCTTCTGATCTTCATCCCCCACATCAGCTTCATCCCCCACATCAGCTGCATCCTCAGCTTCATCCCTTTCCTCTGAAACTGTTCTCATCTTGCAAAAGCTTGATACACAAAGACGTACTTCTTGCGTTTTGGTTATCTCGAGCAAGTTTCGAACTTGTCTATCACTTGTAACATGAATAGGAGGAAGGTCTGGAGCTGGTAATGAGNAGCTTCATCCCCCACATCAGCTGCATCCTCAGCTTCATCCCTTTCCTCTGAAACTGTTCTCATCTTGCAAAAGCTTGATACACAAAGACGTACTTCTTGCGTTTTGGTTATCTCGAGCAAGTTTCGAACTTGTCTATCACTTGTAACATGAATAGGAGGAAGGTCTGGAGCTGGTAATGAGTAGCTAATCTCCACAGTGCAGCATCCTCCTCCCTATCATGATCCTCAGCTACATCCCCCTCCTGATCTTCATCCCCCACATCAGCTTCATCCCCCACATCAGCTGCATCCTCAGCTTCATCCCTTTCCTCTGAAACCGTTCTCATCTTGCAAAAGCTTGATACACAAAGACGTACTTCTTGCGTTTTAGTTATCTCAAGCAAGTTTCGAACTTGTCTATCACTTGTAACATGAATAGGAGGAAGGTCTGGAGCTGGTAATGAGTAGCTAATCTCCATAGTGACTGTGATCATGCCAGGTTATAATCTTCTTGAGCCATTGCCACAAGTTCAGAATGTGTTGAATCTTCATTCAATAAAAACAATCTTGCTCCTTTGAAACGATCAACCACAAAATTCCAACAACCATCTTCCAACAACAATTCTCCATACACTGCACGTAACTGATGCATCATCTGAGATAGTAAAAATAAAACACATTAGCAAACATAGAAGAAAGAAAACGAAAGTTTATTAGAGATCGAAGCAGACGATTGAAATGTAAGTCGCCCAGAGGACTAAACATTCATTCGTCTGGTCAACGCAGAGGTTATTTTTGCAATTGACTTTGAAATCAGTTAGTTGGGACGACTGAAATATCAGTCGTCTGGGTATGTTTGATAAAAAAAATCCAGACGACTGAAATTTCAATCGTCGAAGGTTAGTTTTGCATTTGACTAGAATATTTCAGAAGTTTGACTTTTTAGGACGACTTACATTTCAGTCGTCTGCGGAAAAATGAAATATCAATATTTTATTGAAATTGGACGACTTACATTTCAGTCGTCGTAGGTTAGTTTTGCAATTGCGAAAACAAACTTCAATATTTAAAAAAATCTAGACGACTGAAATCTCAGTCATCCCTGGGACGACTTACAATTCAGTCGTCTAGGATTTACGAGGTTTGACCAGAATCTCGGAATAAAATCCTGGACGACTGAATTGTAAGTCGTCTGGCGGACGACTGAATTGTAAGTCGTCTTGAAAGTTAAAGTTTTTTTTCACAATTGCAAAACTAACCTATTGTAAGTCGTGCGTTCCAATAAAAAATTGATATTTCAGTTTTTTCGTAGACGACTGAAATTTCAGTCGTCCTAGAAAGTCAAAATTCTGAAATTTTCTATTCAAATGCAAAACTAACATACGACGACTGAAATATCAGTCGTCTAGATTCTTAAGATATTTTTTTGTAGCCAAAATAAAGTAGACGACTGAAATTTCAGTCGTCTCTGGAAACGAATTGCAAAGTCAATTGCAAAAATAACTTCTGTGTTGACTGGACGAAAGCAGACGACTGAAATTTCAGTCGTCTGGACGAACAGATCGCAAAAAAACTCGATTTCATACCTTCAATTGGTGAGAGCACTTTCTTTGACTATATGAACCCTAGAAAATGTAGAATCAAGCACTCAGGAGCTCAAACGAAGGTAATTCACCCTGAATCTTTAATTTCTTTGACTATATGAACCCTAAAAAATATAGAATCAAAATCTTGGGTTTTTTTAGCTCATTGTGGAGAGAAAGTGAGAGATATGTGTTGTAATGTGTTGTTTAGTTCATGAGAATAGAGAAAGAAGAAGGGTAAATGGAATTTGGAGGCATTAAGAGCTTCAAAATTGGTTGTTCATGGTTGTTGGAGTATTGATGACAATGGAAATCTTGTAATTACTTGAAGATGATGAGGGTGAGAGAGTAAATATGTTATTTTCGAAAAAAAAACAAATTGATGGCATTTTCGTGAATTATATGAACTTGTTGGGTGAATTGGGCAAAATAAAGTTCCAAAAAAAGGAGGTTAGTTTTGTGGTTAACTTCAAGTTTCAGGTTAATTCTGCAAAAAACCCTATATTTTTTTCCTATTTTTTAATTTAAAATATCCTTTTTGTCTATCTATTAATTTTTTTAAAAATTACTGAAGACGGACAATTTGTTCATTTGTCAATAGCCATTCGTTGTACGACAACACACACACAACAAGAGTATGCAACTTAAGCGACATGTGTGAGAGAATGCGGGAGATCTTAGGCGTTGGATTCTTCCTCCTTCAAATCAAAATATAAATCTCATTAGAGAGAGAGAGAGAGAGAGAGAGAGAGAGAGAGAGACTCTCTCTCTCTCTCTCTCTCTCTCTCTCTCTCTCTCTCACTGAAGGAAGAAATTCCGGAGAGAAGAGATAAAAAGCTTTGAATTTAGAGAAGCAGTTTACATCCATGGCGGCTCGTAGAGTGTCTTCTCTACTATCTCAATCTATCTCGATCTTTTTCAGCTTCATCTCACTTTCTCTTTCGTTTTTTCAAGGTAACCCACACATACAAAATAACTCCTCCTACATATTAAGCTAGATAGACTTCCAACCTAAACCAATTAGTGATAAGTGTAGTGGACCATCTGTCTTATATACTAGATTAAATATCTTCCAACTTCCAATGTGAGACATTTTTTCCTAATACACCCTCTCGAGATGATGGCTCTTTGGCGTCAGTCTTGGAATGTTCGGACAAGGATCGATGGGCCGAATTTCGGACTGGATTGATAAGGATCGGGTTGGACTGCGTGGATCGTGGGCCATGATACCATTTTAAGCTAGATGGGCTTCCAACCTAAACCCAATTAGTGATAAGTGGAGTGGCCCATTTATCTTATATACTAAAAAAAATCTCTTCCAACTTAAGATGTGGGATCTTTGTCCCTAATAATATATGTGTTTGCTTATGTGTATCTCGGAAACTATCTTCATGTTCTTACTTTGTTGCTGTAATAATAGATTCAAGTATGCTCTTTTTTCGATTAATCATAAAGTATATTGACTAGTTACACAAGTTTAGTGACTTTTATGTCTTGAGTAACCAAAAAGAGATAGATTGAAACTTAGATTCTTTGATGTCTGGATCTGTGGTTATGGATATATCAATACCATGACGAGTTTCAGGGAGAAAATGTTACAATGGAAGTAACATCGTACCAAGATTTGGAACCTCCTCCGCAGCTGAAGAAATCATAACCCCGTCGGTTCATGTTTTTTACACACAGCTCCTAATCGATGGAAACTTCGTAGACTCACCTTCTGGTGAGTATAGTTTGCATTTTCCTAACTCTCCTTCGGAAAATACTCTGTTCAGAAAAGAGGACTGTTTGTTTTGAGTCTTGAGATTCTTGTTCCATGAGAGCACTGATAGTTGGTTTTTTGAACTGGGGAATTTAGGTAAGACGTTCCCGAGATCCTCGCATAGGGGATGTCATTGCACACGTAGCTGAAGGCGATGCTGAAGATATCAACCGGGCAGTGAAAGCTGCAAGGAAGGCCTTTGATGAAGGACCTTGGCCTAAGATGACTGCTTATGTATGTATATACTGTTCTTGAGTCTTGAAAGTTATGAAATTTGTAATGTGATATGTTCTGATCTTGGTTGGGGTTTCAGGAAAGGTCAAGGATATTGCTGAGATTCGCAGATTTTGTTGAGAAACACAGCAGAGAGCTCGCAGCTCTGAAAACATGGGACAATGGAAAGACTTATGAACAAGCCAAAACAGCAGAGATTCCAATGCTCGCTAAATTATTTCGCTACTACGCTGGTATACCGCATAAAAATCTTGAGAAAGTTTCTTGCTTTTGTTTGTAAGTAAGTTTTGGTTTGATGTGTAGGATGGGCGGATAAGATTCATGGGCTTACAGTTCCAGCTGATGGAAACTATCACGTTCAGACACTGCATGAACCTATAGGAGTTGCTGGACAAATCATTCCATGGAACTTTCCACTTCTGATGTTTGCTTGGAAAGTTGGTCCTGCACTTGCTTTTGGTAACACCATTGTCCTTAAAACCGCTGAACAAATTCCTCTCACTGCTTTCTACGTCGGCAAGCTTTTCCTTGAAGTATAAAATGTTCCTTTCACCTTTGTTGTTGTTAAATAAAAGAGCCATTTTATAAGTAACAATGTTTCGTAAAATGTGTGATAGGCTGGACTTCCTCCTGGTGTTCTGAATATAGTTTCTGGATTTGGTCCAACCGCAGGTGCTTCCCTCGCGAGTCACATGGATGTAGACAAGATGGATATATCTATTTTCTTCCTCTTAATTTCTTTTAAGAGTCTTAATTTTATGTTACATTGTTCCTTTTCCTCCAGCTTGCTTTCATAGGACCAACTGATACAGGCAAAGTTATATTAGGGCTGGCTGCTAACAGCAATCTACCATTCGTCGTTTTCGAAGATGCTGATATCAATACAGTTGTGGAGCTTGCACACTTTGTTCTCTTCTTCAACCAAGCTTCGTCAATACAGTAGATCTTTGCTTACTTGATCTCTTAGTTAGTTCTTGAAATAATGTTTTTTTTTATAAAGGGGAAATGTTGCTGCGCGGGGTCTCGGACGTACGTTCATGAGGAAGTGTATGATGAGTTTGTTGAGAAACCAAAGGCACGCGCATTGAAACGTGTGGTTGGTGATCCTTTCAAGAAAGGCATTGAACAGGGTCCTCAGGTAACACATATATACACCTTCCTTGCATTAAAAGGAGTTTATTACATTTTTGTTTTATTTAGTTGATTGATTTTGTGTTTTTGGATGTGTTTTAATCATTTTGTGTAGATCGATTCAAAGCAATTCGAGAAAGTGTTGAGGTACATAAGGTCAGGTGTGGAAAGCAATGCTACTCTTGAATGTGGTGGTGATCAGATTGGAGACAAAGGTTACTTCATCCAACTTACAGTCTTTTCTAACGTTAAGGTAGAAAAACACACTCATCAATGGTTGTTTCATTCCAAGTCACTATGGTATTAACCGGTGATATCAAAAATAGGACGACATGCTTATCGCTCAAGACGAGATCTTCGGTCCAGTCCAGTCGATCTTGAAGTTCAGGTGCGTAGGAGCTAAAACCATGGTAGGTGTGGTTTAACACCGGTTACTAAACGGGGTTTGTTGATGTTGGATTCAGGAATGTGGATGAGGTGATAAGGAGGGCTAATGAGACGAGGTAGGGGCTAGCCGCAGGGGTTTTCACAAAGAGTCTGGACACTACCAATAGGGTCTCGAGGGCTTTGAAAGCTGGCACCGTTTGGGTTAACTGTTTCGACGCAGCTATTCCCTTTGGTGGCTACAAGATGAGCGGCAATGGTAGAGAGAAAGGTATTTACAGTCTCAAGAATTACTTGCCGGTCAAGGCATTCGTCACTGCTCTTAATAATCGTGCATGGATATGACCTCTGGAGTAAATGCTCAAAATAAAGAAAGAAGACTTTAAAATGAAATTAAAGCTAGCGTTGGTTACTCAACAGATTGTGACACTAATAAATGTGTAATCAGATTTTCACTTCAGTTACCGTTGTTTTCTCTCTTATCACATAACTAGGATAAGACTTGCACATTGCGCATGATGAATATATGTAATTAAAATATAAAATTTTAATATTGACAAATTTAAAATTTACAGATGATTGTTTTTATAGGTATTTGAAATATTAAAATTTTAGAATTATTATATAATTATATATACGTAGGATCAGAAACAATTGTAATTAGAACTGTAGATCAAAGCTTAGAATTTAATGAACTTAATTTCTTATATCTTTTCACTTTTCAGTGTTCGAGTGATGGAAAATGAATGGAGTGTCACTGGGTTTGATTGGTAGAGTATTAGCAAGTCCCCTAATGCTTTCTTAGGAAGCAGTTGATAAAATATTTGCATTTAAAACATATAAAGTTTCAAAACTAATTTAATATAATTTATTTTTTTCTCTAATAATATTAGAAAATTATATTTTCTAAAAATTATATTTTAAGAAAAAAATTATAAAAAATTATAAATTATAAATTATTTTTAAAATAAAATTATTTCAAAAATATATTTTAATTATTTCAAATAAAAATTAACAATTTAAAATTAATTATGGTCATGATTTAACATAAGCATAATGATTTTTAAAAAAATTAAAAATTTAAAAAATTAAAAATTAACTCAGTTATATATCATGATTTAAAAAATTTAAATATTAATTATGGTTATGAGAAGTTTACGTTCATGTGTCAATCCTATTTATCTTTACTTTTTTCTCTTGTTGTGTTTTTTTTTGGTTATTACTCGATATAAATATATATTTTGAAGTTTATTCTCATTTCCTTTGTTTTTTTTTGGCCTGAGATTTAGAAAATACTGAAGATTTAAAATAATTGAAGAGAAACATATTTAGGTTAATATCTGCACTTTATGAACAATAAGTATTTTATATTTATTATTTTTTATATTTTTATGTATATTACAAAATAATAAAATAATAAATATATATATTAAACAACTAAGAAATCAGTTAATATTTTGTAATAAATTGGGGTATGCATTTAACTATCACTCTTGCTTATTCGCAATTAGGGTAAATAAATAAAAACAATCAATCTTATATATTGTATATGATATATAATTAAATTTAAATGATATAAGCATATTAATATAGCACACTTTTAATATGGATATTTATTCAATGAGGTTTCTACTCATATGATTTTATGATTATTTGCATATTTGTGTAACAAAACTTTACACCAACAATTTTTTTACATGGTCTTACAATAATTATATTTTAATATAGAAAAAAATTTAAAACCTTGATCCTAAGTTTATGTGAGACTTTTAACAGTTTTAGTAATTTATACTCGTTTTGACAACATACACAAAAAATCTAGATTTTTATTATATGATTACTGTAATTGTGTAATTTATTTTAATAATTAGGAAATAAACAAAATGATAAACATTATACAGATTGTTATCAAATCTTTATTGTTTAAAATCATTAATTGCCATATATATATATATATATATATATATATATATATATATATATATATATATATATATATATATATATTAATCATATTAGGTAATTATGTAGGTTTAATTTAAGAAAAGCCCGCGAAATAATAAATATTTGATATAGGCGACCAACTATAGCCTACCAAATATTATATTGCTAGAGAGTATAATTTTTAGACTATACTTTAAGTTAGAATCTCTAGAATCATTCTATTTTGAAATAGAAGGCATAGAGAGATGTCACATAGGATTGAGTTATTTTTTAATTCATACAAACTTAAGGTAACCTCTTTTCAAATATTTCTCAATTAATATATAGGGGATGTAGCTGTTACACTAGCCATGTACTTCTGTTTCCTTTTGGTTTTCCCAGTATTTCTTTATACTCTCTATAAAAATATACATGAAAGTAGGGATTTCTCTGTACAAAGTCCAAAAACTTTAGCCGCCTTTCGTTTTTCTTATTCTCCGCCCCACACGGTGGTGATGTGAGAAGCACTTCGCCTCTACTTCTTTGTTTCTCTTCAGCGTTTAAGTTTTGGTTTGAAGAGGATAATGATAATTTTGAAAGACTCTCCTAAGACTGCGGTAATATTGCATGTAAGACGATTGGGTCGCGGTTAGACTGGATGGCTTCCTTCTGTTTTGAGTTTAACTTTGGTAGTTTCCTCTTCTTTCTTTGTCCCTACTAGTTGTAATCGTGCTTTTGATATGGAACGCGAAGCTCTATGTGATGGGGTCTCGATAGTCACACGTATGGGATGGTGGCGTGTGGGCTCGCGTTGGAAACTAGTCGGACCTCACATTGGCTGGTGGATCTGCCGAGGGGCTGTAGGTTCTCCTTTGTATACTTTTTCTCTAGAAGCTTTTATCCTCTTGTCTACCACTTCCCCTCATGTGTAGTACACTATCTCTTTTTTGACACTTTTGTGAATTGTGTTGGGTTCCTTGGTCTCAGATATATTTTCGGAAACTATCAAAATGCTTTTACTGGAGAAAACTTGATAGATGACTGAATGGATGTCATACTAAAATGCTTTATTTTGGAGAAAAGGAGGTAATCCTAAACTCAATTGGGATGGCTTCTCAAGTATATGCGATGTCATGTTTCAAATTTACTAAACATCATTGCAAAAAGATCATGAGTGCAATATGTCTGCATTTTGGTGGAGTAAGAGTGGAGACAAGAGGAAAATTCACTGGGTTACTTGGAAAAAGCTGTATGAAAGGAAAATGAAGTGTTGGGAGTGTCCTAAAATCATCTGTACTTACTCTTGTTAAAGTCGTAATGTCGAGATTTGACAATCGTATAATATTAGGTGGTTATAATGTTTTGCTAGAAACCAGTTATAATCTATGAATTCAAAATTCATTACTAATATTATATGATCCTACAGGGTCACACGCCTAAACAAAATGGATCACTTATATATAGGGTTTGGGAATAATATATATATATGTATCGTATACATAGATGTATATACATAAATTCATAATTATTATCTCTTACACTAAGAGATGTTACATGTGTATGAGTGGGCTTTATAGCCCATGAGACTAATGAATTAGGTTAATGTTTTAAGGTGATTCATTATAGAAGTGCACATGTTGACAATTATACTCACGATTGATTTAGACGGCAAACCCTAAACAATAAGAGAACAAAACGTTTGTCAACCTGTGGAGATTTGATCTCAACGGCACTAGCATCCCGTCTAGATCCAATTTGTGTGAGTGTAGACACCGGTAGAGGTACGATATTTGGAGTTCTAAAAATCTCGACTTGGTTTATTCATGTTTCCGTTGCGAATAACCAAGTATATTCGAAAATTCTAAAGATCTAGATTTGTTTCAGTATTTACATGAGATCTAGGCATACCGAATTCCTAGATTTATTTATAAATAGTTATAAACCAGTATGAATTCCTACAGTAATATCAGAGCCTACTTGTTAATACTGAATTTGGATCTTGCATGAATTTGATATGCTTGAATGTTAATAAAAACCCTAATTTGATTACGGATATAAACACATTGAGTTATCGTTATAGCCGGTATGTGAAAAGTTAAAATTATAATTTGATTATAATTGTCGTTTATAACTCACATATGGATTTGAACATATTAGAACGTGTTTGCTTTTTGATTCATGAGTTTATGCATATGTTTGTTTAGAACAGAACACGTATTAGAGATGTTGATCGATTTCTAAATTTAAAGATATGCGAATATTAGATTTACATGGTTTTGGAAAGATCAATATGATACATTAATAATGTATATACTCATGTAGTTGCAATCCGTGCGGATGTAATAGTGATTACATAAGAGTATTATATGCATTCATGGAATTTGGTTCATGCATATTTAATTAAAGATAATCGTGTGTTATGGTAAAACATAAAGTGATTCTATAATTAATTTGCATGTGTGACGAGTTAAACCAGTTTCGGTTTAATTGGTTAATATGATTAACCAGATTTAATTGTATTATTTTTTTTTGGTTTAGCACTAATAAGATTATATTCTAAAATTAATTACATATAATAATTAATAATTTTAATTCGATTAAAATTAATTTAATCATTTATAATTCAATTAAAATACATATAATATATGTATTAGTTATGTTTATATTTTATACTAGGTGATTTTCCCGTGCTCATACACGGGTATAAATATTTATTAAGTAAATATACTATAATAATTGATTACTATTTACTTTTAATTTTCAATAAATTTTTAATTTGCATACATGATTTATATTAATAATATTATTTTACTTTAATTAGACATATTATTTTAGAAATATTATATCTAGTCAATTTTATTATTTTATAGTCGATTTTACTGTTATTATTTGGGTATATTAGATTACATTCTTTTATCTGAATTCAACTATAATATTTTTTATTCTAAATATATTAAATTTTGTTTAATTCTATTATTTATTTTAGGTTGTTTGCTGTCTCAGATGTCAATATATTTTAGAAAAGTTATTTATAACTTAAGATATATTATGCCTATGATGAAATATAAAATAATTTTGATTTCAAATTACATCAATCGATATAAAGATAATCTTTGAAGTCTCATGCATATATATAAATTTAACAAAATAAATCAAATTAAATTAATATTATTTATCATTTAAATGTGCACGTATTTTCATAATATTTATCAAGTTATATGTTTCTTTAAAATATGGTAGAAAATAAAGCAATAATCAGTAGGAAGTTACATACTTAAGTAACTCATATATTTTTGGAGATTCATGAACACATATCAATATTTACAATAACTAAAATATTTTATAAATTCTAAATAATTTTATATCTTAGATTTATTGAATGATAAACTGAAATTATTTAAATTAATATTTAAAATGAGAAT